CAAACCAAGACAGGAGGTGAGCCGACTGATAACAAGACAAAACAAACCTTCACTTTCAGAGTCAGTTCTGAAAGCACAGAACATAGTATCAAACAAAAACAGAACACACGACTGGGGATACCAGCATCATAATGTCACCCTAGGACAGTTCCCAACATGGATCACAAGGAATGTGGGTCACCAGGGCTGTGCCCAGTGTGGCTCCTCCCATGGGGGATGGAGTTTAGCTCTTCTCGCACTCGGGGCACTCGCAGGGCTTCCCTTACTGGTGCCTCTGCTGGTGTCGGGTCAGGTGGGAGCTCCGTGAGAATCTCTTCCCACACTGGGGACACTCGTAGGGCCTCTCCCCCGTGTGGATCCTCTGGTGCTGGATCACGCTGGAGCTCTGGGTGAAGCTCTTCCCACACTCCCCACACTCGTAGGGCCTCTCCCCTGTGTGGATGCGCCGGTGTGAGATGAGGGCACAGTTGTGCCTGAATCCCTTCCCACAGTCGGGGCAGCAGAAGGGCCTCTCCTCTCTGTGAACCAGATAGTGCTGGAAGAGATTGGCTCTGGTCTGAAACCTCTTCCCACACTCGGAACACTCGTAGGGCCTCTCCCCTGTGTGAATCCTCTGGTGCTGGATCAGGCTGGAGCTGCAGATGAAGCTCTTCCCACACTCAGAACACTCGTAGGGCCTCTCCCCGGTGTGGGTCCTCTGGTGTGCGAGGAGTTGGGAGCTCCGGCTGAAGCTCTTCCCACACTCCCCACACTCGTAGGGCCTCTCCCCAGTGTGGATGCGCCGGTGCTGGATAAGGCCGGAGTTGCCCCTGAATCCCTTTCCGCAGTCGGGGCAGCAGAAGGGCCTCTCCTCTCTGTGAACTGGATAGTGCCGGAGGAGACAGGACTTGGTGTGAAACATCTTCCCACACTTGGAACACTCATAGGGCCTCTCCCCAGTGTGGATCCTCTGGTGCCTGATGAGGTGGGAGCTCCACCTGAAGCCCTTCCCACACTCCGAGCACTTGTGGGGCTTCTCCCCATCACGGAGCTGCTCAGGGTCCCCCAGCTCCGAGCTCTGGCTCCGTCTCCGGCCGCCTCCCCGGCCCAGGGTGGCTCTTTCCCCCTCAGATCCCCGCGATCTGCCTTTGCAGCCCCTCCTCGTGCGGGATCTCCGGGGCTTTTCCTCCCCGTCGGGTTCCTGCGCCGTGGAGC